GCGGCCGCCGCTGCTTCTCGTCCTCACTTTCTGTTTCCTGTCTGAGTCGGCCTCAACCACGCCTTTCCCCAAAGACCTGGAGCCAATCAGCATGGTCAGCTCAGAGCGTGAGTAGACTCGATCTGACCGGGCAATGACGATTTCTGTGCAAAGTGGTAAAACCCTCTGATCTGCTGTGAGCACCTCCTGAGACCACAGGTCAGGTATCAGTAATTAACCCTTCCTTCATTTGATCGGACAAACTCTCAGCTTAGCAGGCTGTGCCCTAATTAATCAACTTGTCTTTGTGTTGATAAATAAAGAAAATGAAAGCATTAAATAGGTCTGTAAGCTGAGGCAGAGACAGGCCCAGAGCTCCAGCAGAGAGGCTGAAGTACAAATATGAGATACTGGCAAATGTAAAATAATTATTACCCGGAAGCAGGATGTTTGTCTTGTGATGATCACATTTAATTCTAATTTTATTTAACACTTCATCACTTCTCATGTCAACATCAATGAAACCTGGTTAAAGGCTTAAACTGAAGAAGGCACTTGGATGGGGCTGCTAGATGTGGGAGCGTAATCCACTAGGAAAAGTTACTAATTTAAAACATTTCATTTTGATTAAAGGCTTTATTGGCGTGTGCTCAGCTGCTGTGGTCCTGTGACACTACATCAGGTTTGATGGTGGAAGAAGGTGTTTTACAGATGTTTTTAAATGACCTTTGGTTGCACACGCTGCACTAGTTTGGTGGTGGGGGGGCATATTATTCATTACAAAACAGCAGCACTTATCACCTTCAAACTTCACATACACTAGCTTATGTGGTTTTGGTTACTGAGCAGCTTATTTCACCTGTAAACACTCACCCTGTGGTTCTGCTTTTGTCAGCACATATTGTGAAAAACCAGCAACTAACCACAAACTAGGTGTCCACAGTGTCTGAGTCACCTGTCGCATGTGTCTCTGACAAAACAGTTCCTTCACTCAGTGCAGGCAGACCAACACATGCCCATTTTGAGTCTGCGCCACAATGAACAACATGCATAGAATAACTCCAGGCTTATGTTTTATGTGTCGTGATTCACAGTTCAGCATATTTACATACAGTGTACATATCTTCCTGAAAACAAATGTGTGATCTGGGACTGAGTGATTCTTACTTGTTTGGTCTGTCTTTCTGTCCAGAGTCCTGTCAGTATCCAAGTTTTCAAGGTTTGCTTCAGGACAACGACACGCTGCGTCTGGGTCTGGACTTTCAGAGGATGTTGCGCATCAACCACATGTTGTACATTGCTGCCAGGTATATACACACACACACACACACACACACACACACACACACATCTAGACATTTTCAGCAGCACCAGTTTGACATCAGAGACATCAGTGTTGCATCAGGAGGCTTTAGAAACTTGTACACACCAAAGCCCAGGCCCACATTTCCCGACATAGAAAGGATTGAACTGCAGTTGCCAGACCAGGCAGAGGCCGAGCAGAGAGGATGGGGCATCCTCTTCACTTTAGTTTTAAAGCTGCTGCCGATCAGCTCCTGAGGTCTGATTTGAATTTGATGTCTCACTTTACTTGTAATCAAGCTTTGATGTAGAGAGGCATTCTGGGAAATGCGGGAAGGCCACTAAGTGCAGTAGAAGATTAACTCAGAGATGAAGAGCAAACAAACAAAGTCACACACCAGGCGCAGTGCATTCAGACGTCATATTGAATCTGCAGAGGTGTGACTGTGCATGTTGACTCGCTGTTTTACACTCCTCAGGGATCACGTGTTTGCAGTGAACCTGTCGACTGCTTCAGAGGAGTTTGTCCCTCAGCTGGTGAGTGGAATTGCATGGCGAACACAAACATGTCGGCACCGGGTTTTTAAAATGTCAGCGTCAGTAGCACAACAGGACTGGTTCTGTTTTAGTATCAGACTGGCGGGTCATCTGTGCGCTCAGCCTTAGAGTGGCTGTCTTCTGACCTCTAAACAAAGAGCTTTAATTTACAGGAATCGGTTCAGAAGAAAGACACAAATTGTCACTCGTTTAGTTTAATTATATAATTGTGTATAATTATAAGACTCAGTGCGAACAGTGTAGTTCTGGTTTATTCCAACTTTAGTTCACATCAGTAATGATAACATAGTTGATAGCTGAGATCTCAGAACACTGTGGGAACAGTAAAACATGAAGAGACCGTGTCTTTACATCAGTACGTTTCACATTCAGCAGGTTTGTGTGGTACAGCTCAACTTCTCCAGCGTTTGGCCAGAAAGGCTCAGCTACCTGTTGTTCTGCAGAATTCATCCACATCAGTATCCTCACATGTTCAGGCCCTCACACGCCTAGTCTGTGGGTTTGTCAGTGCTGCATCTTCCATAAGAATCTTTCCCTCAAATGCTGCAAGCAGCATCGAGCCTGATGCCTGACAACGCAGCAGCACATCCCTGTCACTTGTTGAACAGTAAATATCAGAGCGGCCTGTAACGTGTGAGGCGCCACAAAGCCCACGTTTGCTTTGATCCACACACATCCTCATCATCAAAGAGAAAAGGTTGCAGGGTGGCGCCTGACTGTAATGGGCCTCCCGGTGCATTGTGGGAGCGCGGCCTGCAGCAGCTCTTTGATGTGGACGGTCGCTCTCGTTATCAGCGGTTGGCTCGTTCCTCCTCATTCTGTGTGTTTGGTTTAAAGTACATACTTTAAGTTCAAAGAAAAGTTTTACCTGTTTAATTATGGGCTCGTGTTCTGGTTGAAGAGTTTCTCCAAAACGGGCCCTTTAAAAATCCAAAACCAAAGCCAGCCTCAGTCTCTTGTGCAGTTTCTCCAGCATTCCTTTTCCTCACACACCAGACGTTCACCTGGGATGGATGCTGCAGACAAAACAAATTTCCATGTTCACATATCACGTTGTCAGACGAGCACGAGGGTTAAAAATACAGTGCCCATAAAACCCACATCATTAGATGGGATTAACACTGGCATTTCCCAGTCTTAATTTGGGAGTGACTGTGGTTCAGTGGGTAGAGCAGTCATCTCCCAGCCGGAGGGTCGGAGGTTCAAATTTCGGTGCCTGCAAGTCCACATGTCGAAGTGTTTTGGGGCCAGATACTGAACCCCCAAGTTGCCCCGATGGTTAGAGCCCTCAGTTGAGTTGACACCGCAGATGGCTGCCCTCGGTTCTATACCGGAAACAAATTCCTTGTGTGTAACATACTTGGCCAGTAAAGGTGATTATCCTTATTATGACTTTGTGTAGATGTTGATATGAACACTGTTTACAAACTGGAAACTGGTAATTACAGTTAGCGTTATAAGAACACAGAGTAAAATCTGGCCGCACAGTTTCAGAGCACATTCACTACAGTGAAATCACCATCAGTGGATTCACGCGTGGGAGCAGTGTAAACCTCACTTCCAGTTGAGCTTGGCTGAACCTTTACAAGCGAATCTGTGCTGTTTCTTAGCTGAGCCCTGTGCTCGGGGGTGGGGGGGGGGGGGGGCTCCTCCATGGCTGGCTGTTTGACATGACTACAGGTGGTGGGGAGGGGGGGCTCTTAGTTGATGCAGCGCATTACATCACACTCTTCTTCCTGTGTTTCAGAAGCTGACATGGAAGTCCAGAGATGTCAGCAAGTGTACGGTCAGAGGGAAGAACAGCGTGAGTTTCTCTTCTCCGTCTTCTTCTTTCTAACTCTAGCTCTTGGTTCCCTTCTCCCTTCGCTTGTTGTTGTTCTTTTACTTTTATCCTCCAATTTTAACTTGCTTTTATCCGTGGCTTGTGTTCCTGTGCTAAAACCTGTTGCATTGCTGGAGATGGAGAATCAAAAACAGCAGCATCTCCGCTGCCTTAGCTGTGACCGGCAGCTGTTTGAGACACTCTCCAACACTTCAGAGAAATATTTCATCCCTGACAGATCTGATAAATGAGAGTCCATGAACACCAAAGATAAAATTAGAGACACTGTCGCAGCTTCAGAAAAACAAACTTTGTGTCACATCCACTGTGTGATTGATGATGATGGCGCTCACATTTTATATACTCGTTGGTGTGTGTTTCAGGATGAGTGTTACAACTATGTTAAAGTCCTGGTTCCCAGAAACGATGAGACCCTTTTTGCCTGCGGAACCAACGCTTTCAACCCCACCTGCCGAAACTACAAGGTACACACACACACACACACACACACACACACACACACACACACCTGTGCTGTCCTGTGTCAGACTGTCCTCAGCAGGACAAACAACAGCTCAGAGCTGTTGACGCCACATTATTCAGTTTGATTTTTTTTTTTTTTTTCAAAAGTGAAAAACAAACACGCTGGTCATTTCTGTGTTTTTAATGAAGAGTTGTTTTTGCATTCGATACATATTGATTTCCTACTTTCTAGGCAGCACTGGTGGGAAGTCACTAACTGCAGTACTTTGAGAGCGACTTAACACCCTGTCATGCTTCAACACGCCTCTACATAGTTAGAAAGATGCACTGACACCAGTAGTCTGCTCCAGCTTCCCTTGACCACACCCTGTCTACGGCACACGTTTGACTTGTGATGCACCTTTTGCACATCTGGAGGATGTGTGCGTGTGTTTGTACGTTGCCTAACCTGCGCGTTGTCCCCTCAGCTGTTGTGTCGTCACCAACAGTTGAGGTAATGAGCGAGGAGACGGGGACAAGGTGACTTTTATTCTGACGGCACTCCCCTCTCGTCCTCTTTGCTAATTGAAAGTGTCAGGCAGCTCTAGACGCCTCACCTTCACAGACGCCACAATTTCAGGTGTCAATCCGGAGCCGTGCTCGTTTCTTCACTCTCCTGTGCCACTGGGGGTTTGATTGACAGGCACTGACCCCATTTATCAGAAGAAACCCATAGCGGTGGGAAAGACAACACATTTACCTGGATATGAGGCCGTTTTTATTCCTTTGTGATGTGAAAAGAGATGTGTAGCGCTTGGAAAAACGCCGATGCCTTCTCTCCTTCTGTGATTGATGGCAGAGAATAAAATCAGCTTGAACAGGAAGCAATTTAAATGTTTTTTTAAACGGTCTTTTCAGCTGTTCCACAAATCATTCGGCGTGTTTTATTACGAGACAAATGAAAGTGGACTGAAATGATGGACTTAAGTGTTTTTAATCAAAAGTAAATCCACTTAAATAAAAATCTGCTGCAAGAATCAGACTGATTTGTTGCCTTGTCACAGATTATTCCTGACATTGTAAATGGTTGAAAGCTCCAGAAAAAGCTTTATTTTGTCAAACTGCAACAGAGCAGTGAGATTTACTAGTGCAGAGGACGACACCTGACAAGGACATGGGTCCACACAGCATGAGAGTGAGATTATTCTGCTGCTGTAAGGACTTTTCTCAAATGTTAATGTTTGAATTATTCTTGAGGTTCACACTGCTGAGTAAACTCCCTGGTGCAGCACCGCAGCAGAGTGTGTGTGAAAATGCACCAGTCACTACAGGAAACACTTGGTTTAACATGAGGACAGTGAATGTTACTGCACGTGTCCCAAGTACAAACTCATGAAGATGACAGGAAGAGCTGCATGCCTAACAGTCAGACTGATCACATTTCATTACAGTTTGTTGATTTAACCAAACATTTTATGACAAATGTAACCAATTCCCATGATGTCTTTGTGGGACTGAAGGAAATCTGAGCACATTTTCCTTATTGAGTTTTGAGAGCTTTGACAGCATTGATATCTGAGGCGAGGGAGAGTCAAAAGGTCCCAAAAGATGGAAGTGACTGTAGCATAGATATCTTCATGTGCCATTGATTCATTGGAGTGATGTGTCAACTTGGCTGCCATGTTAGTACAGGGAAGCCTCCTGATGCATGTACTGTATGTGTATGAATTACAATCACCTGATTTTCCACCAGTTTGGTTTGTTCAGATTTTGCAAAGGTTTCAGCTGAGCACTTTTTTACATAACATTTAAAATGATTATTCTTTTGTTTGCTGTGTTTGTGTTTGTGTTGTAAAATGGCTGCCATGCAATCATTACAGATTGGGTAATAAAAGACCATTTTTAATTTGATGTGTAGTGAAATATATTTCTTATATTTTAAAATCACACATTATTAGAACAGTGAATAACTATTTGTTGTTTTCGGACTTCAGAGACATCGTCTGTCACAGGCGGAGTACTGGTCTGACTCGCGGTCCATGTCCAGGTACAGTCCACAGATTGGACGTGCCTTACGCTCTGTCCTCTTCATCGTGCCTGTAAGCCCTTCATCATCCAGGTCCTTTCAGAATTCATCACTGTGGTTCTGGAAACTTCCTCAAGGGTTTTTCACGGAGTACAAACAACAGCGCTGCATTTTCTCTGAGTAAAAACATTTTTCAATCCCACTGAGGGATTTTAATTTCCCCTCGTCCTTGTGTCCTCGGCTCAGACAGCAGCACAGTTTCTGTGTACACAGACAGATACTGACGGACAGGAAGGTTGGCCACTGCTCCATGTGACTGCTGAGCAGGCACCGGCAAAGATAATGAAGAAAAAATGTTTAATTAAAGTGTGTGATTAAATGTTTAATTTAATTAGAGGGTGCTTCACCTTGTCACGCTGAGTGTAACGTCAATTAGGACACATTAGAACAGAGTGGAATGGAAAGTAAAAACAAGGACGTGTTGTGGAAGAGGAAACTGAGAGGAGTGATGTGTTATCAGTGTCCTACTTCATAATGGAGGACTAACAGACGAGCAGCAAGGACAAGCCAGATAGACTGAATTAAAAGCAGACAGTGCAGAGGGTCGGAGATTGTGGCGCTCGCAGCTCTGAGCACACTCAACCCCTGAAGGCGAACACAGCAGACAGGTTTATTTATGGGGCTTTTCAGCAGCATAAACGCTCCCATAGCCTCAGCCCTCAGTTAGCAAATCAGCTAACGTAGCATCTGAACACACAGTGTTATCAACTGAGCTGCCAGCCTGACAGGGAAATGTTATCAGAACTATCATCCAACATGTCAATAATGTTATCAGCAGCAGAATTGTCTGAGATTCTGTGCTGTGAATAGAACTGTCAGCACGTTATCAAACAGCAGTAGCTAGCATGTTAACAGCAGCACCAGTTTGAAGCCAGCTTCCATGAAGGTTCATCTGTTCACATCATGTACTGTGACAGTGACACCTTTTAAGTCACACATCTTTGCCATGTTCTCCATTGTAGTGAATGGCCTGCGTGCCTTTCTAGGTTGGACTGATGGAAGGTAGCCCCATATTTATTTTGTTTTACAAGGACGCATGCAACTAGACATTGTCACACTCAGGCAACTGATGCAGTGCATGTGGGCATCTACCAAAGAGCGTCCCTGGCTTTTAAAACAGGTTCAAGCATCCAAGAGCAAACAGAAGGTTAAACCGGGGCAGATAAAACCAGCAGTGTCACAGACAGACCCACACTGCGTTATGCCTACTGGTAAAATGTCCCATAGCTGTGGGCTTTCTCCTGAGAACTGACTGGCCAAAAGTGGGTCTGCACCTTTGAGCACTGTATATACAGACTTTGTCATCTTATAGAAATAAAGCAGCTGCTGCAAAGTTCAGAGATGAATTTGTTTTTGACGCGTCCTTGCGCGGCACACACCATCTTTGATAGACATCTGTCAGTAGCTGCCATGCTAGAGGAGGTGCAGGCTGTAGACAAAGTCAGTCCCACAGGTGGAGATGAGAGCTGTGTGTGGCCACAAACATCACCTGACAGCTTCAAAGCTGTCTCACACACAGAGTGTTAAAGGTGGCGTGCCGTTTCCTGCAGCACACGTTCAGACCTCTGGGGCCTCATTCTGGTTTTTACATTCATAAACATCAGTATGTCCTCAGAGTATACCAGACACCACATGTACAGCTCTTTGCCAGATGTGCTGCATCATTTTTCCACCCCTTTTGCATCAGTGAGACTAGACTGAATAACAGAAACACAAGCTGCAGCCTCCACAGTGCTCCTGCAGGTGTAGCTGTGTGAATACATCCTGCACATCCTTCATGGAGGAGGATTTACTGTGGGACTGTTGGACGAGACTGTTTGAGACAAGGGTTCCTAATAATCTGACAGCTGGGTGTAGTGGTGTGCATGTGTATTGAGCTTTTATGAGTGTGTACACTGTGTTTGTACCTGTGTTTGACAGACAACACACAAAACAGAAAGCCTCTGTGACGTCACTTGGCTCAGGTCGGAGCCGACTCAGACGAGCAGTGAACAGAATTGAGCTGTTAATAACATCAGTGCACTGTGAATAGATCTGTCGGCAGGTATATCAGTGTATTATTAGCTCAGGTACAGTAACATGACGTGATGGCGCCAGCTGATTAGCAGCATTAGTATCCTCTGTGCTGACACAGTGAATAATATTACTCACATTACTCAGGAAGCTTCGAGCTGGGCCTCAGCGGAGTCGAAGAGTTTCACAGCTCTGTCGCTTCATTTCATGGCATATTTTTTTCTCTGTTATATGTGAATTGTACTTTGTGTTTATTCTTTAATGTCTTTGTTGGAGAGCAGGAAAGTATTTAATTAGTTTCTGCCTTCTCTTCCTCTCAGATGACTTCTCTGGAGCAGGTCGGAGAGGAGGTGGTGGGCCAGGCTCGCTGTCCTTTTGAATCCAGTCAGTCCAACGTCGGCCTGTTTGCTGGTGAGTCGACAGAGACGTGAAGTCCTGGACAGTTGCCCAGCCAAGTTCAGTATTTCTCATTTAGGTTTGCTGGTATCCTGCCTGTCTGTAGCTCTGGACATAATGTCGTGTGTATTAATGTAAACACATCTTTCTGATTTTCGGGCTGGGTGCAGTGTAAGGTGGGTCATAGGCAGGGTCACAGACCCAGGCGTGCCAGTCCCTTCCATCATAGACTGGGAATGTCAGGATGTGCCAACTAGATGCTGTCAGGCTCACCTTGATCCACAGCACCGGGTTTGGAACCAAACTCCTGGAGAGGGGCTCAAGTTCTTTTGGGGAGTCCTGGGCAGATGTGAGGATACTCACAGGGCTCTGGCCGAGTGATTCATCTTAACTTGAGGCTTAATAACAGAGCAGACTTATTAAAACGCGGATTTTTTCATTTAGCATCTCAGAGGAGTTCAGTCTCTCACTGTGAAAGCACATTCTTGTTCTCATCAGGTGGAGATTTCTACTCGGCTACCATGACTGACTTCCTGGCCAGCGATGCCGTCATCTACAGAAGTCTGGGAGAAGGCCGACCCGTCCTCAGGACCGTCAAGTATGACTCCAAGTGGCTCAGAGGTAGGTCATGTGACATGTAGCTGTTCATTGTGCAGACCAATCTGCAGGTTAGAAAATATTTCTTTGGAAAGGAGCACTGGAAGAAAAAGAGGCTTGTTCGCTTTGGTTTAGATGAGCCATAAACCCCACAGTTCACCACAGGTCAGCAGGAGGTTAGGTGGTGTTTTTAAGGACATTTCAAAGTATTTTTATAAGCATGTACAAGAAATAAACTTCTAAATAAACAGGTCTGTCTAATTACTTGGCTTCCCAGAGCTTTCAGTCATGTCCCATGGGCTTCCTCAGGTTGTGGAGTTACTCAATTGTTTCAGCAGCATCAAATAGTTCACTCTTTGAGGATGGTCTTGTCATCTGTATGTAGGTCATGTGATAGTGGTTAGCTATCTCCATGACAACCAACAGAGGAAAGTGCATCACAAGGCTTTGGAGAAGAAGGTGGCATCGCACCATGAGACATGTTGTCAAGCTGCCTGTCCCGAGGTCCTGAGCAAACCTTCAGCCAGGAAGCTGAATACTTTGATTCAGCTAAACTGTTGATGTGATTATCTGTAGGCCGATTTGTAGACATTACTACACATTGCTGTGACTCTGTGTACATTTGACTAAGTTACAGTTTCATTCTCAGAGACACTGAGATCAGCCTGTTTGTCTTTGTGCGTGTCATAATTAATTTAGTGCTGTTGTGTCGTTTGGGGTCGCTGTTCTAACGTCGTCATGTGACATTTTATTCACCAAGCGATTAACATAATCAGTAATGGGCCTTTAGCAACAAACTGTGCTGAAGGTAGCTGCATCAAACAACCATCCAAAGATCCACTTCAGTGAAACTTGGCAGCCACATTAAACCCCCAGCTGTAACATACAAGTTCATACTGGCCCTCTGTGGGGCTCTGAAAGGCATTCTGGGAGAAGTAAAAACACAGTAACTGCTGCAGACGCTGCAGGTTGTAGGAATAAAAACCTTTTATCACCCAGTAGCTGCTGGAACATGTTGGAAATGTGTGATATGTATAACGGTGAAAGAAGCTAAGAGGAGAGCTGAACCTTTAGAGTGGAGGGAATCAATAGCCATGCTTTCTCCCTGCAGAGCCTCACTTCCTGCACGCCATTGACTACGGCAACTACGTCTACTTCTTCCTCAGTGAGATTGCAGTGGAGTACACCACCCTGGGCAAGGTACTTGTGTGTGTGTGTGTGTGTGTGAGAGAAAATGTTGTCCTCCAAAGCTAAAAGCTAAATGAAACCTGACTCTGAAGCTGAAACCTGCTCTGCAACTCTGTATTGTTTGTGAATATTACTCACTTCTTCTTTGTTTTTACATACATTTAAGTAACCAGGCTGCAGTTGCTTTCTCTAGTCATGTCAATTCTTAATCACATCTGGAGGTTTCTCTGTGATGTGCACAGGTAACCTTGTTTCTAATGGGCTTTTTACACGCGCACATGTGCATAACAGCAAATTGCAGACAGGGGAAGTAGTGGAGCCAAAGAATTGGCCTCTGGGAGTCAACAGAGTCATGAATGTTTTCAAAATGGCAATAAAACTAGATCATAATGATGTGATTTCACTAAAAGTCAATAAATGATCCTACTGAAGATGCTGCCGTTCTCTGTGCTATGCAGTCAGTGTATCTGGATCTCTATGGTATGATCCATCTGTGCTATGCAGTCAGTGTATCTGGACCTGTATGGTATGATCCAGTCTGTCCTCCTTCGCTGATTCATCCCTCAGGTGGTGTTTTCCAGGGTCGCCCGTGTGTGTAAGAATGATAACGGGGGATCTCCCAGGGTTCTGGAGAGATACTGGACCTCTTTCCTCAAGGTACCTCCACATCAGTCGGTGAATCGGACTTTAATTCACACAGGCTCGTGCATTTGACTTGCCCTGCAGGTGACGGACACACTGATGAGATGGAACAAGTGTGAGGACGCACTGACCTTTTAGAAGCTGCTGTTAGCTGATGTTAGCTCAGTCGCTAATGCTTTTATGAGTGTATTGATTCTCATTTCCTTCTGTGGTATTTATTCCTTTTTAGTTGTCTGTTTTATCAGTTCTCTTGTGTAGGTGTGTTTTTATTTCTGTGTAACTACTTTGTATTGATCGTTACCTTTATGAGTATAATGGGAGGCGCTGTATAAATAAAATATGTTTTAGAAATACAAAGAATAAATAAATGCACAATAGGAAGTGCAAAGTAATAAGGCAAAGATAAAATGTGAGGGAAAATGTATGAGGGAATAACACATTTTAAACATGCCTGTAATAAATGAACAAAGTAAATTATTCTGATCAGCAGCAAATGTTTTGGCAGCTCAGAGCATAAAAACTAAAATATCTTCCTGCACTTGGGACCATTGAAAGCATCAGAGTGTCTGTGGACCTGAGAGGCCGTCCGGGTTCCACTGCTGGAAAACAAAATGCATCAGTACTGACGCTAAGAGAACCCGGTACAGCGACTGTAAACCAGGCTTCGTATCTTCTCTCCCTGTGGTGCTCAGGCCCGACTGAACTGCTCCGTTTCTGGAGACTCCTTCTTCTACTTCGATGTCCTTCAGTCTCTCACCAACGTGCTGCAGATCAACCAGAGACCTGCTGTGGTGGGAGTCTTCACTACCCAGGCCAACAGGTATACATCAGGCACATCAAGGTCACTTCTGTGTTTTTTGGTAGATATTCTCATGCTGATGTGCACAACAGGTTGTTTTTAATAAGTTATTTGATGGCAGGCGTATTTTAGTTGGTGTGACAGCTTTGGTTGGTGGTTCGATGCTGTCACTGCACAGAATCTGGTTGCAAAATGCCAAGATGGCCACCGCTGTATTTGTGATATTTTGGCCTCACTTGCATAGTCGAGGTAAGTGGTGATGCCAGGTCCAAGTGCTCACGCCTGTAATGTTATGTATTTTGTTTTTATTTTCACTTAGCTTTCAGTTCCTGAGGGAAGTAACATGGATGCTGTCCTGTGAAAACAGTCCAATTCCAAAACATAAGAGGTTCAGACTGGGTTTTAGAAAGTGAGGTATTTAGTTTTTCATCTGAGTTCAGACCTGTTTCGGCTCATTAGTTAGTGGTGCTCGTGTGTGAATGACAGTACTGAGTAGCGGGCCTTGTCCTTCCACCACAAGCTGCTCATGCACTCTGTACTTGTTTACTCTCTGTCTCTGTTATGCAACGTTGGAGTTGACTGTGTTGGTTCGGTGCCGACACAGATCAGTGGAGCGCTCTGAGGCCTGGCTTTCATCATATTCAGGGTTTTTGTTTTAAAGTTTTCCAGAGTCTTGGGCTGGAGTTTGTTAGTTTCAGTTCAGGTTGTAGGGTTTTGATTGACACGGATGAATGTCTGAACAGTCTCCTTCTCTGCTTTGCATCAGAATCTTTTTATGATGGACAGAATTATTTGCAACTTGCTGAGCGTGACCCTTTCTGTACAGTATCCCCGGCTCTGCGGTCTGTGCCTTCTACATGGACGACATAGAGAAAGTGTTTAATGGGAAGTTCAAGGAGCAGCGGACCGGTGACTCATCCTGGACTCCGGTACCTGACGAGCAGGTTCCCAGACCGAGGTGAGTGTGGAGCCATCAGTGCTGTGTAACCAGGGATACGTAGACACAGCTGCTGTGCGCCGACACATTTAGAAGTAGCACAAAGTAAGATTAGATCTGTGACTGTGCTGCTGTTCTCCAGGCCTGGTATGTGTGCAGGTGACGGTCCTGCTGCAGACTTCAAGTCGTCGGTTCAATTTCCAGATGAGATGCTGACCTTCATCAAGTCGTATCCTCTGATGGACGAAGCTGTTCCCTCAGTCAACGACCGGCCCTGTTTCACCAGGACCTCCAGCAGGTAGCACACACACACACACACACACACACACACAGAGTGGCTGAGAAGCTTCTGCTGCTGAGCTAAAATTCATACACTGCATCTTCACAAACCTGAAATACCATGTGCTGTAATCCCACCAGAATCCCTTTGTGTTATTACCCAGTCATTAAAACTGAGACTGATTGATTCTGAGATTTAGTAAGACTCTATGATGGATCACTACCTGTGCACTAGGTGTTTCTGGACAGTTATGTATGGATCTGGTACACAGTGATTAAGCATCTTCTGCCTGATGACTGTCGTCAGATATCACAACCAGGCCACTGTGGTGTCACCATCACAAGCTCCCTGGCTCTGGCTGGAATTCTCAACACGTGGAAAATTATCTAAAATTATTGTCAAATTGATCTGTAGAGTGAGTTTAATGTCACCACTGAGTGGCAGCCAGCAGTAAATCAAGTTTCAGATAGCAGCATAACAAGGCACTCCTGGAGCCAGGAAATAATACTGAGGTCAGGAGTGACGAGGACGTGAACTGTACCCCGAGGAGAGAGGCTTTGAAGTTCCTGCAGCTCAGAGAGGCAGCGACTGCACCATCACGACCAGATAATCATCGGTATCAGCTCTGATTAGACGTCAGCTCACAGGAAGCCCTCGCTCTCTTGCTGCGCTGAAAATATCTGACCTTTTTAATCTGCGTCTGCAGGTTTCAAATGAGTTTCTGAAGGATCCTAATTACCAGTCTGGAACGGGAATGAGACTCTTAATTTCACGTTCGAATTAGCCTCCGCTCTGGAAAGGCCAAGCTGACCCAGATAATGATGATGCTGATGCCCTGAGGGCTGCACACATCGTCTCACCGTGTCATACGGTGTCAGAGCTGCCCTGTCATGGTGGTGAACGGCTGTGGGGAGAGCACACTTACCCTCTGTGCACATCCATACAGCAGAAGTTACTGCCTTCCTGTATTTTCCAGAGTGCCCTTTATAAACTGAAAAACTTATTTTTTGTGAGTTTTATGTGCAGACAGTGATGGTGGAGGAGGACAGAGAACAAGCCTCCACCAGAAAGTTTTCGGATTGGTGCAACATTTTGTCCAGGTATTCAAGGTCCCCGACTTTTCATCTCGCGTCATCAGGTCACAGTGAAATATCTCAGTATCTATGGGATAGACTGGTGCAGCATTCGTTACGTGTCCCAGTGAGCAAACAGACCGGCTGGTCTGCCGCGTCGTCCCACTGCGTCTGAAGGCAGAAGTATTTATAGCTGGGGTGAAGGGGACAAGATGTGCCTACACATTAACATATGGAAGTAATTTCACTGTCAGTCTTTACTCAGAGACGTTCATACTGTTGCTCGGGTTTGTTCACAAGTGTAAATAAAGAGTCAGAATCAGGCCGTGCTCTCACCCCCACATGCTTCACCAGTCACTGCGTGACGCGACTGTCGGATTGTCTGGCTCAGAAAGTTAGAAGAACTGTTGGATGCAGCTGTTCAGCCGTCACATCAGGAGGAGAGGCGGCGTCAGACACGGCTCAGCAGCTGCTTTGACACTTTAATGGTGCAGCATTTTCGTTTGTCCAGTTGTCAGTCATACACCACGAGCCACGATAAAAGAACAACTTTTGCCTTCTGTCTTCCATTTGGACTTTGTGGCTCAGAGATTTTCACTCAAACCTCTGGCACCATTAGCTCCTCCTGGACACGAGGCAAAGCTGGGGCTCAGTAAAAGCTAGAGGGCTGTTTTTACCGCAGTGGTCTTCATGACTGGGATGAAGTTACACTTCCAACCAAGTTCCCTTGGCCAAATAATAAATTTGAGTGTTTCACCAAATCGCTCTCTACCTCACAGGTCCAAACTGACCCAGATTGTGGTGGACGTTTCGGCTGGTCCCTACAAAGACCGGACGGTGATGTTCCTGGGCTCAGATGATGGACGGGTCCTGAAAGTTTTGGCCAGCACACATCCCAACGACAGCTTTGGATCAAAACTGCTGGAGGACATAGATGTTTACAACCCCTCCAAGTAGGACTTTGATAGATACTGGAGTCATACTGCTGCTGCTGGAGCATTTAACAGCCATGTTGATGTAATAATATCTGTCTGGTTGCTGTTTGTGTGTCCAGGTGTAATGTCCAGGGTCAGGAGGACAAGACGGTTCTCGGGCTGGAGCTGGATAAGGACCATCATGCTCTGTTCGTAGCCTTCACCGGCTGTGTCATCAGAGTGCCGCTCAGCCGCTGCACCCAGCACGGAGCCTGTAGAAAGTAAGGAAACGGGAAGGAAAGCAGCTCTTCACACTGTGACCTTGGCAGGTCTCACCCTAACTAAACTAAATAATACTCTTTCTAAGCCCTGTTTTATTCAAATAAAGTGTTTCTTTTAGTGGGGCAGCTTGAGTTTTCTGAGAGGTAATGGCAAAGACTGGCAAACATCCAAAAATTAGAATGGGGAGTCTTTTTAAACATTAAAATGTGGAGCCAAATTTGGCAGCATAATGGAAATTGGAGCAGAAAGAGTATTGGAGGGAAATGGGGATGCCGAGTCTGAATAGTTAAATATGAACAAAAAGAACCTTATTTATAGCCTGAATGGAACAGAGCTCACTGCCCGAATTAGAGCCCATTCATCACTGCAGAGACGTGCACACACACACACACAGTCACTAATCAGTCCTGCTTTAATTACTTAGCAGGATGAATTAACACAGCTGTGCTGAGAGGCCTCCACCAGCTGTGTCTGTCAGCCAGGTTCAGATGGGAAGACGTCATTCTGTGTCTGTGCACTGGGCCGCCACCCAGGAGCAGAGCTGAAGACCTCGGCCTCACAGCGGAGACTTGGCTTTCATCGGGCTGGACCCCCTCCCCAGGCTTAAAACCAAAAACAAGTCCAAGGTTTTGGGGAACACGTGGCCTTGCTTGTCTGAATGATTCAAATGACTTGAGCTCAGTTATGCTTAGAGGAAAAACTGTATTAGCAGCCTTGAAGACAAAATGAATAATGATCAGCATTCAGATGGTGTTTCTGTGTATTGCAGCACACTGAAGTGCTCTCACACTCTTTACCCATTCGTCAGCTTAGGTTTAGTGTTTTGTTCAAGGACACTTTGACATCTGGACAGGAGAAGTTGGGAATCAAACCACCGGACCGCCCCCCCCCCCCCCCCCAGCCACAGCCGCCCCAAAACTTAGGATTTAGGATTTACCGTCAAGGCTGGACCTGGGACTTTCCTCAATAGGAGACTTGTGAGACTTTGACACCCGGCTCACTACTTGTCCCCAAAATACTTGAGACTTGAGTCATGTCTTATACTGGACCCTGTGGACTTGAGGCAGAGACTGGACTTTCTTTAAAGGTTTAAGACTTGGACTTGACTTCAGACCCTTTTGTCTCACCCTTAGATTAAAGAGTGCTTCCTTCCTTCTTCCTCCTGCCTTCCCCTGTTCTTCTCCCTCCTTCCTCCCTCTTGACTTCAGACCCTTTTGTCTCACCCGTAGATTAAAGAGTGCTTCTTTCCTTCTTCCTCCTGCCTTCCCCTATTCCTCTCCCTCCTTCCTCCCCGGTGCAGCGACTAGCAGCCTCACGTGGTTTCCCATGTCCTCCATTAAACACACACACACTGCTACCATCCTTAAGATTAAGTATTAATGTTTATAACCTGACATCACAGACACACTTTCTCTCTCTGCGTACACACACGCAAAGCTGTCACACAAACTTCGTGTCTTTTTTTAATGTCTAACACCCACACACAGACCTGTCATGTCACCTGTCATCAGGTAGCTGCTGCAAACAGGAGAAAATCTTCAGCGACAAACAGTGGCTGCTGATGACATCTCTCTAAAAACGCACACACGCTTGTACCTCTCTCTCTATGAGGACACCGCCGACAGCCCCGACCCAAACCTCGGCCCTCACGACGGAGTGGGGATAAAACAGCTTCTAGTTAAAGCTGGAGGATTGAAGACAGGACACTGGATCGTTGTCAGGTTTAAATATCAAACTGGTGCTGGTTTAGGTTGGTGCTGCATCATGTCAGCGAGTGTTCTCACACCGATAGAGGCACAGACGTGTGTGTGTGTGTGTGTGTGTTCAGACTCGCATGGCTGAAACCGACAGAGAAGACTAACTCGTGTCCTTTCCTCCGTCCCTCGCTCTCTTCTCTTTCACTCATTTGCCTCTGTCTCCTTTTTTCTCTGTTTGCTCTTTTTCATTTCCACTCTGCTGTTGTCACCTTTTCTGTCATCTTCTTCACTTTCTTTTCTCTCTTCCTACTTCTCATTTCAGCTGTTCTCCATTAACTTGTCCTTTCAGCAGGCAGTTTATTAAGGACACCTCTGTCAGACCGAGTCTAACCCAACAATAAATCCTGCTCCATGAAGGTGATAATGTCCAGTTGGTGCTCGTTGTGCAGGCTGGAGTTTGAGCTGCTGTTCACCTGTACTCTGTTTTACACAGACAGTAGCTAGTGGTCCTCTAAATAAACCATCAACCTCCCTCTTTCTCCAGATCCTGCCTGGCGTCTCGTGACCCATACTGCATCTGGCTGCGGACCGGGAGTTGTGCCAACATGGCGCCAGGCTTCAAGTATGTGTCACTTCCTCTTTTGCTCTAACTCTCCCTCTCTGTCTTTTCTTTCTTCTCTCTTTCCTCTCAGCCCTCATCAATCTGACACCTAATAAAGCTGTGACGGCTCTGCTCGTATATCTGCCACAGCAAGTGAAGGGCTGTATATCTGAGAGATGTAAATCCATGATGCCTTTCACACTCAGCTGAAGTAAAAGGATGGATGGAGAAACATAATGGGAGCAAATGTTAAAATGGGTGTCAGCAGGCATGTAGTGCTTGCACTAAATCTATGAATTCTAAAATGCTGTGACGCAGGACTCGGGCTCAGTGGGTTCTCTGACAGCAGTATACATCCAGCCACTGGTGTTGAAAGAAAATGCAGAGCATTCTCTTGAATGGCAGCAAATCTCCTCTTAGTCAACACAGAAAAGTTAAAGCAGCATCCTGTAAATATGAACAGAAATGATCGTCTTTGGAGTCAGACTCTCCACACTGGCAGGTTAAAATCTCTGCACCAGAAACAGATCTGGTTCTGAGCGGTCTATCATCAGTGAGGCTCCATTTCCCAGTAAAATAGCAACACCAGCCTTTGTGCTGCCCCATTTGAGTAAAGCATCCACCTCGCTGCACCGTGCACCAGGACTGCCGCACAGCCATGCAGTGAGTCTCCAGTCAGGGTCAGTTAAACAGTGTTGCAGCACTGCCTTAAAAATGGTGTGTAGTAGACACACAGGGGTAAGCCTGACCCCCCCCGGGGGCCTGTCAGCCGGGGCTGAGGATGACCGCTTCACTTTCTGCCCAGAGAAGGTGCCGTGTTGAATATTCCAGTAGTTTTCAGTGCAGCAGTGCCAAGACAGCACACAGCATGTCAGTGTCGACAAACAGGAGGGGAAGCTACGTCACTAACCCTCAACAAGAAAAGCAGTCCTGTTGTCTTTCGCTGCTCTGAGTACCTCTTCACTCTGGCAGCCACTGGTTCAGACTTTTAGTCACACAGAGCTCAACCATGGCTGTTTGACATGACTACTGGAAAAGCCATTCTAACCTTGGCCAAGCGGCAGGAAGGGATGATTTACAGACTGAACTTTGACAACACAGGGTGGAGAAGCTGTAATAACAGGAGGGCCGTAGGCAGCAGAGGGTCATGGTAGGGGGAGTGTAGCTGAGAGACGCCATGTCCTGTCCCACTGTCACTGGGGTTATCAGACAATGTGGGGAATCTGAGTTAATGCAGCTTTAAACAAAAACATCCTACTGGGAATAAGTCATAATGTCATAGCTCCAGGGATCAGCGGTGTGTCTGTGTTTAATGCACAGATCTCTTCACTTCGCTCTTTGAGTCTTGTTCTGCAGTTCCAGTGATGTTTCATAAACATGCTCATGCCACGACAGCGTGCTCGGATCACCTCCGTCTTTTCATCTGCACTCTGAGATCTGGTGCTTGTTTTTGCTTTCAGACTCATTAGAAGTCACTCAGATTAAACCCAGACATATATACAGCCGCTACCAGGATTCCATGATGTGGTTAGTCAGTCGCTGCTGCAGCAGCGTGGGGTGGGTGGCAGTGGGGGGGGGGGTGACGGCTCTCAGTGTAGCAGGAGGTTATAACGGATGATATTTACAGATGAGGAGGGTGCAGACGGTCCGCCACTCTCCCTGGATTAAAACAAGTGCTCATCCGAGAGACAAATATGAAAATAATATCAGGTCGATTTACGGGGGAGAAGAGGAGCGGAGGAATAGCAGAGTAACCGACATTCTGGCTGCAGATCGATTTGCTACAAAGTCTTGTGGAGTGGGTGTGAGCTAGCTGACACTTTGGAGTTATTGATCGGGACGTGGTGCAAGGGAACATGTTGGATTTCACAAGCTGCTTGCTGCTGCAGCGTGTGTGTGTGTGTGTGTGTGTGTGTGTGTGTGCGTGCGCATGTGATGCGCGTGTGTGTGTGTGTGTGCAGCTAAAGTCTCGTCTCGGCATATTGATGGACTGGAGCACAGAAACGCAGGGGATTTCATCTTCTCTCAGCTCTCGCGTCTTTAATTTGGGAGTTTAAAGAAGCATTTAAAGGAGGCTCTCTGCAGGCCTTGGCCCATTAACTAGAGCCCACCCACACTCTCGCCAACTGAGACCCTTTCCTCAGCTGTTCATGTGCAGCTGGGGGTGTAACGGTTACATTCTCAGATTTAGGGTCATGATACATTTTTGCAGCAGACTATAACAGTAAACATTTTGTCAATTATTTAGAAAGAATTGTAAGTGTAGACTGTACAAACTCCAGCCCATCAACAGTATCAACAAAGGGCCTGATATGAAGAAAGTCTCTGCAGCTTAAGGATTGTAAATCATTTTCATGTCGGAGATGAAGTGTAAAGTCATCCTCTCACAGCTTCAGTCTGAGTTCACACTGGACAGAAGAAGTCAGTGTCGAGCACTGATATTCCAGCAGGCGTCCAGGATCCCACTATTGATCCCCCCTCGCTCTGACTGAGCTGTTCTCCTCAGGTGACAGCTCTTTATGCACCTGGCTCCTCGTGATGTGTGTCGTCGCATTGATCGGTGACTCACGAAGCCTCGGGGGAGCTGGGGGTGGGGGGAGACTTTTCATACACTGATGTGAGCGTGAGTCATCTGGTTGGCTCGAGTCAGAGCTGGTTAGCAGGGAGTTAATTAGGATATGTGAAGTAAGTGACAACGCGTGGTGTCGAAGCAGGCCTCCCCTCGACATCAGACTTTACTGGGATTGTGAGATGAGTATGTACGGAGGGAGAAAGGGATTATGAAGATGAAAGAAGCCAAGTGAGAATAAAAGCTAAAGCGAGGGCTTTGTCTGTTTCCATGAAGTTCATCAGGACACAAGGACATGGACACTGAGTGTGTGTTGGGTTGCAACGTCACATCAGCTGATTTAGATGTATTGTCAGGCTGAAGCAGTGACGGAGATTAAAGGAGGATGCTGACGATGGAAGGGAGAGACGGGCTTTAGGGACTTTAAATAGATCGATCACCTTGATCTGAGCCTCAGCACAATTTGATCACATCCTCCTTGGAGAGCTGGGGAGTAGACATCGTTGAATTTTTCTGGCTTTATTTACTGCAGAGGATGAAACTCCATCTTTCTAACATTCTGGCTGTGGGCCTTAAAAATCAACCTCCTCTTCTTCCTCGCCTTGAATCCACATCAGGGGTTTGATGGAGGTGGGCTGAGCATGGAGGTGCAGAAGTTTCATTTACTCCTGATCCCTGATGTTCAACAGGAAAACTGCTGAGAAAGGAAAGTTGGCGTCGCCATTTCCTCAAACTCACAGACACAGGAAACGGTCATATCTACAGCAACAGCAGTTCTCAAAGACACACAGCTGTTATCTGTAATACAAACAAGAGCAAAGCACAGACGGAGGACTAACAAGGCACTGCAGGAAGATTCTAATGGGCAGGATGACCCGGTGGAGATGAAGAGAGCAGGAGGTTAGGATGTGATGCAAGAGGTGGAAAGGAAGAAGTGAAGATGAGAGACCAAGCATCAGAGAAAGATATCTGTGTCAGAGACTTAAAGAGGAAGTAAAACAAGCAGGAGGACGGTCAGACAGTCAGTGTATTCTGCTCTGTTTCTGTCTCCGCTGCTGTTGAAATGACTCGAACCTTCACCTCTCTTTGTAACACAGTGGCCTGGACTCTGAGAGAGAATTAGCTGCCTCCCTCTGTTCCTCTTTTGTTTTCCAAACTGAAACTACACCGGTGACCCAGTGATAGCTCTTGGGGTTGCAGGGAACCACTGCCTCTGATAAACATCATGTGTTATAACTTGTCTGCAAAGCGGCATTTGCTATGTCTCAGACCCTGATGCAGGCAGCGTTTGTCCTGTGTGCTCTGTGATGAAGTGGAGCCAAGTTTGACCAAGTTCACTGATTATCTTCCATTAGTGTTGGTGAGGATCACGTCAGCCCAGTTGCTCGCCCCACAGCTGATCCACTTCTGTAAACATCAAAACCTCTGTCGTGACAAAGTCCATTCACAGGTCCCTGTCCTGTCCCTGCAGCATCCTCAGCGGTGGCAGTGGAGGGTCGACCACCGGCTTCACTTCCTCAACCTAAGCCTCTAATCTGGTGTAAAAAGCAGCTGAATTAATGGGGAAACACTGCAGAAGCCCATTTTTGAGGAGACTGAGCGTCTCAGATCAGATTACTGTTTCCCCTTGTGATGCAACCAGAAAGAGGTTTAAAAACCCCATTGACAGTGATAATTAGATCAACGGTGGCTCGGTGTATGTTCAGATACTCCTTTCCAGTGGTCGTTTGTTCCAGCTGTGTGGCTAAATTAAAATCCTGCAAAGATTTTACACTCAGCTTGTGAACAAATAAGAGATATAAACTTGCCAATTATCAGAGGAAAGAAGCCAAATCTGTTGAAAAGCCTTCAGATGTTACACCTACAGTAATTCCTTGTGCCTTTTCCATCTATTCCACTATTTTAGTTTCAAGACTTGAGCTTCTTTCAGTGATTCTGCTTTAGATACAGCAGTTTTTAACATGGGCCATGTTCAGATACTCTACTGTGGACATCAGGCTGAAGGAGGAGGCTTTCCAGGCATGGTTGGTCCCCGAGGTCTCCTGAAGCAGCAGAGGGTACCTGGGGGCCGGAGGAGCTGCAGCAGGCGCAACCGGGGGGGGCGGCGGGAGGGCATTTAACCTGCTGCTCCCATGACCTGGTCCTGGATAAGTGGTTGATGATGGGTGGTGTTTTATAAACATATTAAACTTTAACTCCAGTTGCTGTTCAGTCACATTTTAAAGGCTCCAGTGACTAAACCTGTTGTGACAACGAGGCTGTTTTTTTTTTTTATTAAACCCTGTTTCCCAGGTTGTCTTTTTAGTGTCTAATTTTAAAAGTTTTATACTTATTGGATAACTTGCGTCAGCTCGTTTACAACCAGAACGGTCCTCCTGGGCCTTTCGGGAATCAGTGAAACTAAAATTTAGTCTTGCACAAACAGAAAGTAGAAAACCACCACAGTGCATCACACTGAATCATAAATACAGAACAGCTACTAAAGACAGAGATGACGTCCTGAGCTTCACCCGATTGCAAATCTCTCTGCTGAAGTAAGTTTAGCTTCTCAGACTTCTGCTGCTAAGTGGAAGATTTCCTCTGGGGGAAAACAGGAGAGATGGTGAAGAAAGAAGTTTAGCATCTCACATAACTTCGGCTGAGCTGAACAGAGGGGTAGGAGCAGACAAGGGGGGAGAGGGAGGGAGAGAAAGAGGAAGGAGCAGAGGAGAGAAGGAAGAGGGATGAACAGGAGACAAACCCCGGATGTCATGGCAGCAATCAGCCGTTTCCCTGGAGACCGTCTCTGTGTGTCTGCCGGTCAGGTTGATCCAGACAGGGGGCGACAACTGCTTAACCACGGCGAACCACATAGACACTGACGCAGAAGAAGTGGCGAAATGATGCATGTGTGTCTGACCTAGAGTACAGACTCCTGTTGGAACACAGACATGAAACAAAGGGCAGCTGTAGCTTCTTAAAGACCAGGGACATTCACAGCTTCAAGTGTTCCTCAGTTTCCATCTTCATTCACATCGTCAACAGCACCTTTTGTTTCCGTGATGAAGAGGAGCCATGGTGGCATGTGCAGACGCAGCAGCTTCTTACAAATCCAAGTATCTGTGCTCACACTGGACCTCACTTAGATCCAGGTTGCTGCTGCTAGTGTCCCAGGGCTCAATCTTACCCATAAGTGCTTTTTGTAGACATTTTCTTTCTTTTGCCATTTAGTTGATTGCTTTGTGTTTTGGTTCTGTGCGTTGTTTTGCACTCGTCCTTAACGTCTACGTGTTGCACTGAGATCCGTAAGTCAAGTCAAATGGAGCGAATTCAGGTTCTGAGGAGAGTCCAAGTCTCAAGACATTTGATTTGACTCGCATCATGTTTCAGGTCTTTTCAGTGCTTCGGTGACAAACCTAATGACATCTATGTGCCATGATTGTTAGTTGCACTGAGTTTGGTGAAGCTGTCTGGCTCATCTCCTGAGTCTCTCAGAGCAAGCTACCAATAAACCACAAACAAACTGGTCTAATGCCCCTATGTTATCAGCCCAAATGCATCATGGGAGTGGAGAGAAACTTCCTTTAACTGAGAGGTCCTGCAGCCATTTGTATGTTGTAATTACATTTCACAGCCTTTGAAATCTGTGAACACTTCCACTGTGGAGCTTCGGTGCTAGAACATGAAAATACACTTCAGCACCAGCGTCTGATAACTTGGCTGCATTTTGTAACTGCCCCAGTCTATTTCCGTCCCCTCCTCTGAGTCGCTCCCTGCTAGATGAACGAGGCGTTTAGGTACCCGGGAGAGTTTGGGATTTATAGCGGCTCACTATTGCAACAGCCTCCTCCTGTTCTCTCTCTTTCTCTCCTCACTTACAGCTCAGCCCACGCTGCTGGAAATGTAGCTCGAGAGACGGAGGAAAGATGGAGCTGGAGAGGGAATGAGTGATAAGTGAGATAAATATTGAGTGACTGAGGGGGCGGAGGAGTTAGCAAATATGTGAGGTGGAGGAGAGGTAAATATAGAGTGAGTGAGGAGAGGGAAGCGTAACGATTTCATAATAAATCCAAACCTTCAGGAGTCATTGCATGTGATCAAAATGTTCCACCACTCCTCGTCTTTTATTGCAATATGTGTTCAGTATTTCTTGGAGGGAAACAGGAGATTTGGCAGCTGTTGTTTGCTAAAGTGTAAAAAAACAGATGCATTACATGGCTAGAAGTATGTGGACACTTTGACGTTCCCTCCATACTGTATGTGACAGTGTATCGTGTTCTTGTCACCACCTGCACGCCGACCTGCCGACCCGCAGCCTGATCAAGTGGACATCTGTCATTTCTGAGCCCTGATAGAGGGATGAGTTCTGGTAGACATGTCGAGCAGGCGACCTGTACCCGGGTTGCACTAGTGCTCCACTTAGACTTCAGGCTTGATTCGCAGCTTGTGACTAATAACTCATGGACACTAAGGGTCTTTCAAAGATTGGTAAGGTACTGAACACTGGATGGTGTGTGGCGGCTCTGGGGGACACAGAGTTAATTCAGACCTTATGAGTTAAAACACCGGATATGATTCAGAAGGAGGAAATGCTCTGGGAACAGATCAAGTGTCTGGCTCGGACCCCGGGGACTTGAATTGGACTTAACATAAACACTTTGCTCAGACCTGCCTTTTGAGACTCATGAACATCCCAGACACAAACATTAGCACAGGGTGCATTCAACACGTACACGGTGCACTGAGCGCGTGCACGTGTCTGCCCAAGTTTAACGTCCACTTCAGTTTGTGCAGCCTTGAACTCTGAGTTGCAACATCACAGCACTGCATCTGCTGAGGTGTAAAAAGGAAACGGGACTGAGAGGAGGGAGTTGTGCATTAGAGGTGTTGGTACAGAGAGACGAGTGTGAGGAGAGCAATGAAACAGAAGAGGAAAAAGCTTTGACTCCAAGAGCAGACACATTAATGGAAAACAGAAGATTGTAAATACACTGAGAAAATATGAGCAGCTGAAGTCGTTTTCTCACTTTTATTAAACAAACATAGTCTGAATAAATGTACCTGCAGTCAGTTGATCTCTCAGGTGGAAGATGTTTGCCAGCACAGGCAGAACATGAAAAACAGAGCGGGAAGCACATGATGCCAGATAAGTCAGGACGTGGGCTCAGTGTGATCAGACTGATGAGCGGTTCTGTCTCAGCAGTCTGGAAAACAAAGAACCTTCCTTTTCTGAAATGTTTTTGGAGAATATCTGTCCACCTCCAGAAACGGCACACCTCCAAATCAGGCATCCTGGTGAAGATTTAAAACGAACTGGTTTCACTGGAGCGTCGTCAAATGCTGCCCCTTTTGTTCTTGTCTTTGGATGAAAAGTTTAGTTGTGCACAACTCTTCGCTCACTTTGAAGAAAAAAGAGAACATAGCCAGAAATGTTCAGTATATTTGTTACAAGACTTTTGGCTTTGGGCCTGGACACATCCCTCTGTCTACACCTGGCCTGATTTACCTCCAATTCACAAGGAATTGAGCAAGTTCTCATGGTGATGGTTTGTCATAGCCTTCCACAAGCTCCCATTAGAACGATCTGAAAAGGTCCATGCTGTCTGTATAAGGTTGGGTTAAGTTAAGGAAACTAAAACTACCTGTTCAAGGCTGCAGAAAGACTGTGACCGTGTCTAAAGGAACAAACCTTGATTGTCAGGTATGTTCAAGGCTGCAGAAAGACTGTGACCATGTCTAAAGGAACAAACCTTGATTGTCGGGTGTCACCAGATCTACTTTTGCTCTGTCTGAACATTTGCTCCAGTGTTTTTGGAGATCTAGCTTCCACCTATTCTCAGGAGTTTGGACACAAGTTTGAATTTAAGTGCATATTATTGAAAGAGACCTTTTATACTACTACACCCCCTCCCCCACTAAACTTACGAGAATAAAAACATTCCCGTAGTACAGCAACAGTGTCGTGTCACACTCTTCACTCTGCAGCCGTGTTTCCTTGTGTTACTGTTTTCATTCACTGATTGATTCTAGTTGTTTTTCAGTTGCTGTCGACAAAACAACACTCTCTGCAGATTTTTTCACATTAAAAGCCTTCTTCTCAGAAGGAGTGCTATTGGCCCTCTGAATGTCTGGAAGGTTTTTAATGTGAAATGTGTGTGCACAAAGCGTTGATCTTATTGACGGCAGCTTCACAGTGACCAAAACGTGGCAGAGTAAAAGTGACTGCGTGAAGCCAGTGATTTGTTGGCGATGGGATGAGGATGACGTGACTCTGCAGTGATGGAATAAGTGCAGTGCCAACGGACATGATAGTGAATTTATCGGTCGGCTGGAGGACGTTTTGCTGTTTATAGTGGGGATGCTCTGAATAAAGGCTGTTTTCTCTGCCAGTGAGGTATAAAACCACTGTATTTTACAGCATTTGAAAGACTGGCCTGCCAAGTTTGTGCTAAGCTATAAATTGTGAGGAGAACAGCACCAAACCCTGACAGAATCAGTCCCCTGCCCTTGTGTCTGACACCACCGTTACACTGCACTTGTTTTGTGCCACGGTGCAATAAAAACCTGATTGCTGCTGCTTTTAAAACCTGACTTGAAGGTCAGACAGAAATGACAGCGGAGGAAGAGGCAGAGACCGTAAACAGCTGGAGCACAAAGCCAGAGACACTGAGGAAAGTAAATGGCTTCATTTACTGGAGCGGCTCCGATACATACTCTGCTCCACTTTACTGCTGCTGAAACTCCATGTGTATGAGTGTGTGTTTCCTGGCAGCCTGTTGTCACCGTCTGCCTTCTGATTGGCTCACTCTCACCTTTTTCTCTCCGAAGCAAATGACCCAAAACATGAATTTGTCAGGTTTGTCTCCTCAGTCTTCAAACTAAACGAGCTGGAGGTGAACTGTGACACAATCTAAATAACGTTGTCCTAAATCACTATGTGGTCACCATGGATACACATCACCCATTAACTACCCTCCCAACTGTAACCCATGGAAACCGACATGAGAGGAGACACTGTCTGGTTTTGTTCCTCAGTTGGTTTCAGCTTTTGTTTAAGTTCCTCTCTCCTGTCGGTCTCTCTGCAGGGCGGGGTTCGAGCAGGACATCGAGGGCGATCACTCACTCCACTCAGACAGCTGCCACGGTAAGATGCACGTGGGCATTTACAGCTGAGGTAATGTGATGGTTATGACAGATATAAAATGAGGTTTACACAGCGTAAAGGTTAGTGGAGTGTTAACAGCAGTGATACAGGCAATAAACCCCTTAATAAATGTGAGAATTTTAGGGAAATGCTTTCCTGTGCAGCAGCTGACTGCCGTTGTTGTTTTGTGCAGCCGACGTGTTGGCAACGACGCGGAATCAGGAGTCTGCAGCGGACTCCGCCTATGGTAAGACACTTTCTTTCTGATTTTAATCAAGTTAAGCAGCAGAGTCGTGTGATAGAGACAGAGTTCTGAGTCCGTGGTGGAGGTGGCTGAACAGCACATGCCACTGGACAGGTGAGGTAATACACCGGGAAAGAACAGATACAATAAAGTGCTGTGAGTGAACCAGAGCCTGTAGCAGCATCACCATATAAAGCCTTTGGAGCCTACCACAGGTTGTTGTTCCTATAGGTCATCATTTGATTTTTATGTATTTTCAAAGTGAATTTTTAGGGTCACATCAGGTGACAAAATAAAATGTACTGCATTGTAAAATGTTAGAAACCAGATGATGATTGTAGTTTTGGAGACTTCCACCAATCGAAAATCTAAATGTTTAATCGGAAAACAAACTGGGTTTATAAAAAGAAACATAGCAACATGTAAAACTAGCAATACGTCTCAGAAATTTCCCCAAATGGTTTTAAAGTCCCTCATTTATTCCCTTCGACCATTATAATTTTCAAACCGGGTCTGAAATATTATTGTTGTTTTTTTTTTTGCTCTGGCTGTGGGGCTGCTCTAATCCAACATAAATCCTCCTTCAGGAAGGTGGTAATGTTCACTTTATGTTCTGGGGCCACCGTTTCAGAATTTATGTCTAAAAATGGTTTTAGCCTCTTTTAAAATGGAAACACAACATGCTGAGGTATCTTAGTGTTTCCTCACTCAAAGGTGAAAAACATTGTCCATCTCCAGCAGCTGGAGGACAGCAGATTAGATAACTAATAAAGCAGGAGAATGGGCCTAGAAGAGTGAACTAGAACCTAACACTATCTCAGTGCCGCTCGGTCCACACATGTCGCTGTGCAGTAGCTCGGTTTGACTTCCTTACCCTCCACTAGATTACAGCCCTGCAGGTGAAAGCACTGCCTCGCTGAGTCACCTGCTCTGTATTCATGGCTGTGACTCTGCTGCTACCTGCTGTCGGGGGTGGTGCCTGTAATCTGGCCCGGTTTGGTCCTTCCTGAGCAACAGCAGGCCCCCACTGTGAATACCATTAAGGCTCTCTGAGCTGTGTCACTGTGATTAAAGCCAGGGAGGGGACAGAGGGACACCAGAACATTGAGACATTTCTGGTATGCGGTCTGGTTGACAGGAGATGAATTTGTCTTTCAGTGGCTGCATCGCGTCAGCAGGGACAGTAGCAGAGACAGAACAGGGTCAGCACACTGTGAAGTCTGCAGTGACTAAAGAGGATTAGGAGGAAACGGAGATGGAAATGATTAGTTGTTCTTTTTCACCAGATAAAAATATATGTATCTTGAGCTACCGACTTAATTGAGCTGTGAATGACATCTGCTATCAGGCGTCTCTGAGCCTCTTCAAAGTCAGCTTGACATTGTCGCGATTTTTTCCCCATCATTACTGCTGGGAACTCGTCAGTGTTGTTTGCCAAGCAGTCTTGATCCTATCGGAGAGCTGCAGCTTCAAAACGAGGCACGCCACAGTCCATGGGAGCTTTTTTAAAGAGCGGCAGATCTCGGTCCCAGAGTCCTCGGAGCTTAGAGAGCAGCTGCTTTTGTATTCTGCAATGTATGTTAATTGCATTCACCTGGCATCTAAATGAGGCCCTGCTAGTGGAGTGGAATGAAAAGTACCGGGTAAAGAAACGGCAAGCGTGGAGCTGTGAGGGATGAACAGCAGACAGCCACGGTCCCAGGCAGGAAACTGCAGCTTGGTGATGAATCTGTTTCAGCTCAGGTTTGGAGCTTAAAGCTGCACTGATCAGTATGCTTAAACTAACACTGGATCAAATGACGTGAACTCAGAGAATTATCACCACCTCTGCAGAGATGAAGCTCTGACAAGTTCCTGCTCAGCAGCAAACAGCAACCTCTAACTGCACATGGAAACACAGCTCAGAGCAGAAAGATCCAGGGCCCGTATTTATCAAAAGCCATGACACATCCCTAAAATGTCGACTGTGCGACTGAGTGTAGTAAAACAGTGACATCACTGGTTCGTAGGAGCAGAACTGACAGTAGGACGCGTCGTGAATAACTTTAAAGTCCTATTCTGTTTCTGCTCCTAAGGTGGCGTTCATTGTGATTCCTGGGATCAATCCTGAGCTGCCTGATGAATCCAGGCCCAGGTGTTTTGTATGTAGCTGCTGTCGCTTCACCTGAACCTCTAATTTGCCTCCTTAATCAGTGAAACCACCGCAGCATGCAGGGCAGGCAGGCAGCCTGCGGGTACTTACTGTACATGCCAGGTCATAAAACAGTGACTTCCTGCCTGAATGTTCCCTCCATAAATAATAGTTTGCAGGCACAGCTGCACCCTGCTGTGCGGTGATTAGCCTGACTGACTGACATTATTACAGGCACAGCAGCGAGAGACTCCAGCGATGCTGGCGGATTCATTTACATACTTCCACAGATTCACATCTTGTCTCGCACTAATTGTGTCGTGATTAACCATGTCATTTAGGTTTTAGATTGTATTGTCACCTGCAGGTTTTACCCAGGGAGTTAATGGCACCATAGCACAGTAAAACCTGACAGCAGCCTCGGTAACATTAGCCATGTTCAGCAGCGTGCCCATTCTTCACGCTTCCACTGTGAAACTCCAGCTTAAATATGCAGCAATTAAGCCAGCAGTAAATGGTGGCGGTGCCATTACAGCGCAGGACTGACAGGAGCCACTTCCTGCATAATGGTGTCTGCGGCATTAGCTTCCCGGTGTCAGGCAGCCGGGCATGAAGGGCTCCGAACACAATGAGTGACTGATGTTTTAGCCTGCATCTATCTGTCGTGCTACACCAGAGTGGCTGTCATCCCTGTAATGACATCATTTGGCGGGAACTATTCCCATAATGGCATTTTTTTTGTTGCAAATTGGTTATTTAATGCACAGTGAGGGAGGCCCCGTGGGTTTAGTTTGGGCTCTGAATGAACATAAATTGGCAATTTTGCTGCAGTGTGCTTTTACAGGGTACTTTTACGTTGGATGAGAGCTGACACTGTGCAGAGACAGTTC